TATATATATACAGTATATATATATAGACACGATGAACTTCATTGGATGAATGAGATGATCTGCAAAGAGTGGACCAAAATTCCTCCTGACGTGTGCAAACCTAATCATCAGCTACATAAAGTCTGACTGCATGCCAACAAGGGTTTTGCCACCAAGTATTAAGTGTTGTTTGCCAGAGGGATCAAATACTTATCTCTCTCTGCAATATGCAAAAAAATTTACATAATTTATACAATTAATTTTCTGGATTTTTTTTTTTCATATTCTATTTCTCACTGTTAAAATGAACCCACCCTTAAAATTATAGACTGTTCATGTCTTTGTAGGTGGGCAAACTTACAACATCAGTAAGGGATTAAATACTGTGTGTGTTACTTCTCATCTTATTCTGCTGTACTTGAGAAATGTCAGCCTTTGTTCAGGTGTTGTACTGACTGTATGTTGATTGATTACTTTACAGGACACTTTTAGATTTATAACATTTATGTGTTAAAACCGTTTTTCATTGACCTTACTGATTTTTATACAACTGTCTTGATATAATAAAAAAGGAAAACATTTGATATTTCTGATATAAATACCTCCTATAATATATGAATTTGTGATATTTTGTGTGTGATCATAAACTCTGCATCTAGGCTATCAAAAACAGACTATTTTGTCTTTAGTAGTGCTAAAAGTAAAATGTAAGTTGTGTGTGAATTCAAACAGTTACACAATGTCTTTATTTTTTTCTGATAAACAAAAACAAGTCATTATGAATGACTAAAGCCTGAAAACATAATTGTCGTGGTTCTTTATGCAAAGGGGTAATACTGTATGTTAGAGAGTTGAATCCTTAAATTTTTTAATTTAAAGATGTTGATGGTGAAAAGCCTTTCCCTCATAATTATGGCTTAGTTGCTCCAGTTTTGGCTCAGATTTTTTTTTAACATTTTGACCTTAACACCTCAGAGTTGTAACTTAGAATCTCATTATTATGACTTAGCCTCCAATAATTTATGACTTAGCATGCTTTAATGATGATTTATATAATGCATCTATTTCACCAAACGAATGGTTGCATGGTTGCAGCACAGGAGAAGGAAGAGCGGGCTGCCGG